AGTATGCATCCCTGTCTCACACCAGTCTTGATGTCAAAGCTGTCAGTGAGCTGGCCATCATGTACAACCCTGCAATTTGTCCCTTTGTACATGATGCTCTTGATGAGGTTCATCAACTTGACTATAGCGAACAGAACTACAATATCACCCAAGATTCTTGTGCGGGCGTAGAGGTTAGAAGGTCTATTGGCTATTTTGTAGTTTCGTTCGTTAAAGTCAAGAAGCCCCCCTGACCTAAAAAAAATATGGAGGCCCCCCTGAATTTTATCCTAATTTGATGCAGTTAGATTGCATCCCTATTCTTTGTGTAGCCTGGCCTATTTCAAATAGTATTTGATCATCAAGACTTCTGGATTTCTTCTCTGGATGTAAACAAATGGATCATGGACTTTAACGAACGGAACTACAAGATCACCGGCCTATTTGAGACGGTGCAGTAGTCCATTCAGAGTTATTATATCTTGTTTTTCTTTCTTACACAAGAAGACCTAGTCTCTAGATCTAGATCTAGATATATAGATTAGTCGAGACTAGTTGGCTCGAGACAAGAGAATTCACTTTTACTTGGACTGGTTGGGCAAATCTAACCTAAAATCTACTCACTCTGGAGTCTGTCTGCTGAGTTGAGACATCATCCTAAAAATTATCTCTGGCTGTGGGGTATAGATTCTATATTAGATCTAGATCTAGATCTAGATCTAGATCTAGATCTATATCTAGATCTAGATCTAGTAGATTTAGAGATCTAGATCTAGATCTAGATCTAGATCTAGATCTATCTAGATTTCTAGATCTAGAATATCTAATTAGATTTACCAAGAGTAATTGTACCATTCATTTTGTTATGAAATCTCACTTACGATGTTTGAAGGACAATTCTTCGGGATAACAAACCAGAAAAGGTTCGACAAAGTGAGGGTGCAAATAACCCGGTGGGTGACATTGTTGACTGTGTTGTAACGAAAGTGAAATGAATGACAGAAGGAAAATAGCAATTCTGTGGCATTGATAAAAACGAAGAAGAGTTCCAACAGTAGAGTAGACACAAATAAATACGAGGGTGGCCTCCCCTGGCCTAGCTCGTCTTCGTCCACAGAATTCTCCACTTTCGCCTAATTCTGTGTCTTCTTCTTAGCAGGCTACTCTTCTTTTTCTTTTTGTGGGCGGGGAACTACATTGGCTGCCGTCATCGATTTGTGCATTGATGATATCAAGAACTGGATGATTGATAATAAGCTCCAGTTTCATGAAACAAAACTGATATTTTCTTGTGTGACCCCCCCCCCCCCCTCGCCCCTGAAAAAGTCATGTGTACCCACCGGCGTAGAGCACTTTGGCGTACTTAAGGGAGAAAAAAAGTATTTTAATGATAACGCTAAAAAAAATACAACAACCCCAAAACAACAGCATCAACAAACCAACAATCACCCCCCCCCCCCAAAAAAAAAAAAAAAAAAAAAAAAAAATTAAAAAAATAATAATCCCCAACCAAACCGGGGTGGATTTTGGTCGGAAAATAGTAACCCACAAGGAGTTTACGTTCTAAACTCCTGGGTAACCCATGATCAGCAACTGAAGTTAAAACAAATTTATATCACTCCATTGGAACTGGTACGACAGGCTAAGTCGTGTATTAGCCACCGACCTGGCTTGTAACTTGTCGACCACTAAACTAAGGCTAAGGCTAGAGTATAGGCCAAGACGGATGAACACGGTAGGCCTATAGTCTGTCTTGGGTATAGGTCTATCTCTGTTTGTCCTGAAATAGATTGTCCACAATGGCACAATTTCATGAACTTTTTTTTCCTTTTAAAAGTGGCCCATCGATATATATTATGATACAGAATATCTACAGTGACATGATCTTGAAAAGGCGGGGTTGTCAACGGGAAACAACCAATAAAAATAAAAAGTAGGCCTCGCAAAAAGCAATTATCTTTTTAGATTAATTTTACAAATGTAAGTATTCTTTACTACTGTCCCCTGATACAAACTAATTTAGAAGGGGGAAAACTCTTTACTATGACTTTTGAAAATCATTAATCGTGTTTGCTCCCTTTGGGCATATCATCTTGCCGACCTTTGTGGAAAATGACTTTTGAATTAGAATGAGAGGACACATTTGCAATCTACATGTATTTGTATTACGTCATGTACTATAAAACAGGTGAGAAAGACAACTTTTTGAACTTTTATGAGTTGTTCAAAAGTGTTGTTGGTTAAAGTTGGATTCAATTTAAGGGGAATGACTGAGAAGTTGATTTCTCTTAATCTTATAATACCTTTGAGAAATTAAATATCCATTAAAAAAAAGAGATTTTTAAAAAAAATTGTAATTGTAGGGGGAGTGTCGATTACACTGGTTCAATAAGTCCAAAGATGTAGGCCTACATTCTTGTAAAACAAATACATTGTATGCTTATTCCGAATCAAAACTATTCATAAAAACTTTTTTTTAAAAATAATTCAAGCAATCAAGTTCAAGCCTCAAGTCCAAATCCACTTAGCTCTGCTGAAGCGCATGTATAATTAACTTGATGTGAAGTACACGTGCGGTCAAAACTAATACTTTTGGATTATAAGACAATCGAACCTGCTCTAACGGCCACCTGTCCAAGACAATCATCGGTACAAAAAACCGCTTCTAACCAGCCCCCCCCCCCCCCCCCCCCCCCCCCCCCCTTTGGTTTTTTTTTGGGGGGGGGGGGGTTTGGGTTGCTATTATAATATTATGACCTAAACAAATTTATATATATATATATATATATATATTAATACCGATGTCTGCCGCAGATATGGCACTTGATGATGATATATTGTACATGTACTTCCTCTGTCCAAAACATTTGCCGGTCTAATAGTAAGACAGTTGCTTTTTTTCCTCGACAATGGTGGATGTCTCGACTATACCACACAGCGATTACGAGTCAAGTGGCCCCGCAAAGACCGTCCTACCTGAAACGGTGACAGTAAGTTTGATCGAAAGCTTAATAAACTCTCGGGATCCATCGACACAATCGAGATTATTTAGGAGGCAGGCTGTTTCGACCCTGCCCGTCAGCGCCCACCTAGGGAGATTGGGACATAACTTCTCAAGCAGGAATATATAGGATAAAATAACTTCCCAACAGGAAACCGAGTCCATGGCCCTCTTAAGTCTAAGCCTGCAGCAGCGAGGATCCTCACCAAAGTGAGGGGGGGGGGGGGTTGTTAGTGTTTTACGGCGCTTGCGACTGTATGATTACACGACGAGAGCAGACAACAAAGCATGGTTTAAAAAAGAGCAGGAAAGGAGAACATTTTAAAGAAGTTTATTTCCCCCCGTCACTGTCAGTGTCAGGTTGCGAACCTGGGACCCATTGAATGAGAGGCGAACACCGTAACCTCTATCTAAACCACAAGGGCCCCCGAAAAGGAGTGATAAGGACGATAGATCACATACATTTGATAGGAAAGAAGGAGCAAACCACACCAGAGCACCTGCCAACCACCCACCAAGGAACAGTGGAAGGTAAGTAAGTGTATGGGTTTGTTTTGTTGTAGCAAGTTTTTACGGCGCTCGAAACTGCATAAGGTCATATGAGCGCCAAGGGGTGGATGTCAACAGAGAAGTCCGAACGGGGACTCAGGTTTGCTCTACTCACCTCTCTAGCCCAAACAGCAACGAAGTCTGCTTCGACTATCAAGGCACCCCGGAAATAGCAGTTCACAAGAGAGTGACAAACATACAAAAGAAGAAGAGGAAAATGACCATAGTAAGGATGAAGAAAAAAAGTAGCAGTTCCTTCTATGCTGTTCCGGCATAGCATGAGCGTGACATTGATAAATCAGCCCATTTACAAAATTCTACTCTGCATAAGAACATGTTAATATCCCCCTTTGAGAAAGGCTAAAGACAACTTCAGTCTGTAGCACTGCCCTGGTTGGGAGGGGGGGTAGGGGGTGTAAAGGTTTTACACTCCTGTCAACGCTATTAGGTTATTTAAGAGGCGGGGCCTCCGAATTTACGCCGTCTCAGGTAGGACCGAGCCAAATGGGCTGAAGGCCTTGAAAACTCCACAAAATGTCCAAAATTCAAGAACATCCAGTTTTAACTAGGCCCATCCACTCCACAGTCCAGCATGATACCACCTGACCACAGCGGAGCGCCCCACAGTAGAAGGGGCTAAACAAACTAAAAAAGAGAGGAAGAGGAAAGAAGCGATGGACAGACATCTCAGAGTGGACAGGGGAGCCTTCTGAGAGACAGACAGGGTCTGATTTAACTACAGTAACAGTAACACTGTCAATAATTTAGGCAGTTTATGTTCAAGATGAGAGACTGTTGTCAGCCTAAAATACTTACTGGGCTTCAGTTCCAATTATATTTATATCGCTTTTGTAGTGACCTCAACAAATGATTATCGAAGTCCCCCTTCCCACACCCACTGAAGATAAGGGCCACCGGCATTGAGGTACACGTAATATATGTGATCTGTGTCTGTGCCTGTCCTTCTTGTATACCGGGGCAACTAGTGCCTACTCATTTTGTAACAAGTCATCTGTGCTGGCCGTGGCTGTCTTTCATGTAACAAATTGGGTGTAGTGTGCACACTGTGCTTCGTGTCCCGAGTCAAAAAGCATGGCCGATCCTCGTTGAAATAAAGAACTTCAAGTAGTCAGTAAGCATGACATCCAATTTCCAGGTGAACTTTCTTTTCTCTTGTAGAGATGTTTTTACACCTTAATTGACACAATTTAGTTCATTTAGCTTCAACTTCTAACACTGCCTGCCAGGGCCATTCTGGGCTGAGAGGGAGCAACATCCTTGCAATTTGCAGAAAGACTCCATAAAAATTCTTCCCACTAAGGAATCTATTTTGGGTCTTCTGCATGCAATGCGTAACTGCTACACCATTACCACAGACACTGGTCCTTGATGAGCTTAAAATCAGCACACATGCATAGAGTAGAGAAGTGTGATTCATCAGAGCACATGAGTATTCTGAACATTTCTGTTAATTAAGATGCAAGGAAGTTTTGAACCAGTGTTCAAGCTCCTGCTAAAAAAAAAAAACACCAAAAAAATGCCAGCAGTATAATTACCACTAAGTTTCCATGACAATCATATGACATAAGCAAATATATAAGAACACAAAATCACCAAAGTTTTAATGAGGATTCAGTTTATTTGTTTACAGATACTGTTAAAAATGTATTTGCTGGATTAAAATGCAAATTCAAACTCAGTTTGTTCCACGAGCAACAACATCTGTGAGTGACAATGACAAAATCAAGGTACCAGTACTTCTGTTACGTTTTCTTCCTTTACCACTGACTACAAAATTATTCGACAAAAGAAAGATTACTTATACCATTACACCAATTTTCATGCATCTATATCCTCAACCCTGTTTGATAATTTTCGGGTAAAAAAAAAAATTCCAATGAAAGCAGCCATTCCAAAAGATTTCAAAATAAAAACTAATTGGAAATTAATTATGTACGGTATGAAATATGAGAAGTCAAAACATGTACATATGTATCATGAATAATTAAGAAAGAAATTAAGTGCAATATCATAAGATTTTCAGGATTTTTAGTTTCTTGATGTTGCGATCTTCTAAAGGCACAGACGCGATGAGCAAATGGCAATTAAATATAAAAAAAATAAAATACAATGACAAACCCTAAGCAAACTAAATACACAAAAAGGGGGTTGAACTTGAGATAAATGTAATGCAAGACCTTAAGAGAGGTGTATTTGTACTTCATCTTTGTACTTAATCACCCACAATCTGAAATGTCAATATGATAGTCAACATATTCAAATACAGAGCTTTTGACAAAGTTGCTAGGACAATATATCGCAGGTTCCAAATGATATAAATTTCAATATAGTAAGAACATTAATTGCGGAAAGAGTATCAATGTGTTGCGTCAAAGGAGACAGGGGGATCAAACACCGAGCTTCATATCGTTTAAAAGAAGACATGGAGGCTACAACGTATACCAGAATGAAGAACCAGAAAGATTTGGTATGATACCATGATGTGAAAAGCAATGGATACATATGATTGCATAGTGAATATACACATAGGTTGGAATCTAAATTTCATTTTAGCCAAAAAAATCCACGCTCATTGTTAAAACAAGAACGCTAAACTTGAAACTGAAACTAAATTATTAGACCATATCAACATATGTCATCCCACGCACCAAATGACTAATGCATTTTACATGCATACCTGAACTCTTCTTGACAAATTAATGAACTTTCAATTAATCACATGGGGTAAGAGGCTGGCAAGATGAAAACAAGTTTCTGTCACTTCTCCACAGTGCTGTTAGTAACCTGTGTACATGTAGTTGCACTTTGAACATAAGGGGGTCGGGGATAATGAAACCTGCAACGCATAAAAAAAAAGTTTCGAGCTCTACATCGGTCACATAGCCCAAATACGCCTTACTGATGCCTGGTATATTTGCATTTGTTCTACTTTCCTTTTTCTTTTCCTTTCTAGGCAGAATTTAAACTAGCGCTCTCTTTCACTCCTTGCTTGTGAAGATTGTGAAATGAAAACATAATGACTTTCAGAAGTCCTGGTATGTACAACAGTGTAAACTTTTCTGCTCACATCCAAACACAATAAAGAAAACTTAAACAGAAGAACTGACACATGGCGAAAAACCAAAGCAAGTCAAAAAATCCAAAAATGCATAATATCCTGTAAAGCAAAAGTACAAAAGGGTTAATGTGTCTAAAAGGTTCCTTATAGGACAAGCTTTACCTGCATAGAGCATAAACTCTGTACCTGAATCAATAATTTCACTTTTTGAGCAGTGAGGGCAACAGAAAAGCAACAAATCTTATGTCAAGTTGCACGGGGTCACTGCAGCATTCTGAAGATGCTTGTATCATGACAAGTTTTTCCTTGGAGTATAGGAAAAAAGACTCAAATATCTGTTAATTCTGCTTCGAGCCGTTTACCCATGAAAAAGCAAAGTTTTAAAATTATGCAGGAAAGATGCTTTGGACTTTGTCATCACTCAAGAAGTACAATGACAGTCATTGGAAATATGTAGAAAGAATTATAGGAGTATGTATCTAAAGAGTTGTAATATTTGTTTAAAAAATTATTGCAGTGCAGTTGTTTACCTACGAAAGTAGCACCACATGTATCACCATTCATACTTAACGCAAACATTTGAATGAGTTTGACAGACTTACATAACACCAATACAATTCATAAGCTATACAAAAAATAGACGGAAAGACATCATAACACATTTACAGTTTCATTCCATACTTGGAAGCATAAATATTTTGTGTGTATGAAAAATGACTATATCAGTAGAGGTAAAGAACTGACTACAAATGTATTCTAATGGGGCTGTCTACAGAACAAAGTATTTTTATTTTCATACATGCATTCTTTCTTACAAAAAAACCCAACAAAACAACTCAAGATATCCTAGAGATAGAACATCAGAACATAAGGGCAGTATACTGTTGGAATAATTCTTGAAACAAGAAAGGTGCTAGGCACAGAGTCAATAACTACTAAATTAAAAAAAAAAAACCAATGTTATTTTAAAAAAGCTCCACATTAGTCATTTACAAGCACAGTAAACACATGTGAAGATATCCATGACACAATCAGAATGAAAACACTCATACAGCACTCAAAACTTTAGTCAATTCATAATTTATGACATCACCCATAAGCCATGCTTCACTGCCTTTCCTGCATTGCCCGAAACAATACATTCATGAACATTATTCTAAGGGGCTCACAATTTGTAAAGGAGACAATGCTTGAAATTTTACTCAACTGTAGTACAAACTTTTTGCAGATGAGGAATTTACTCAAATAAAACATTTCCATTACCTCATTCTCCAGCCATAGATAGTTGATGCTTATATTTGTTCTTAAATATATATGCAATCACACAAGCCACAAAATATGACTGTGATCATATGCCACTCTGATATGGCCTTTCTTGTGTTTCAGTCGGGAAGCATCCGTCTTTTTACACTAATTATAATTGAACAATCTTAAGTTGAAAATTGGTATTTAAAAAAAAATAATTTTAAAAGGAATATCTTCAAAAGACAAAATTTCATGCAGTCCTCCTTTCACCAGCCCTGTTGTGGGGAATTGAAGAAAACAGCGACTTATTCACAATACAACACATCCACCCTTCTTCTTCTTTTTCACTTGCAGCGCAGCTCTGGTAGCTGTCTCAAACACATCCCTCACGCCCTCCTTGGTTTTAGCAGAGCACTCAAGATAAGAGTAGGCGTTGATTTTCTCAGCCATGGCGCGCCCATCCTCTGGTCTCACTGGTTCCTGTTTCATTTTCATGAGCTCACGTTTGGTACTTTCATCGTTGCGAAGATCCTTTTTGTTACCCACAAGTATTATAGGAACATTTGGACAAAAGTGACGAACCTGAAAAAAGAACAAAGGAATATAACCTTCAGTATTTGACAATACCCGGTTTGAGGTTTTGTTCAACAGTACTACAGACCTGTAAGTGCCTCTTACAAAATTTCCTGAAAATCTGAAGGAGTGTAGCGTGCCGGCGCGGCATCCAAGCACCGCTGGCGCAAGGATTAACAACTAAGGGGGTCTGGAGAAATTCTTTTAAAAAATTAGAATTTATCTAAACTGCCATCTGGAGGCATTTTCAGCTTGGAAAAGAAAAATATCAGACCAAGTAAAAAAGTCCATGTAATCAACTGCTGGGTATCACTTACACTTACTCTGATATTGAGAGCCACAGGCATCAGGATTGTGTGACTTGGTGACAGGATTCTACAGCTATACACCATTTTAGATCAAGTGTCCCGGGCGGGGGCTAATCAACACCCGAGATCATGCCAGGCTGTATCGTGATTTTCTGATTGTAATCTGAAAGAAGGCCTCCATTGCTGTCTCTTTCTTCTAGTCATGTCCACTTGAATTTATTTTTCACACTGGCCTTAATGCGACTCGGATCATCAAGCTGAGAAACAACGTGCTCCTCAGGCATCTTTTCAAGACAAAGCACCTATATACAGTCCGTGCCGGCTTTAAGCACGCTGGCCTAAAGCACGTTTCGGACTCAAGCACGCTAAACGGCTCTTACCGAATTTTTGCTATATAAATTACACGCCTTTAAGCATGGTAACTTCGGCTTCAAGCACGTTTCATTTACAAGACAGTCAATATTTTCATGATGACCCATCGAAGTTTGAACACAGTTTACACCGCAGCAGTGGAGTGTGTCAAGAGAAACACAAAGAACGCAAGTGATGGACACACACACTCACACGGGCGGAGAGGAAGGCAGAGAGATGCAAACAGCCGCGCGCGCGGACATAGGATCTAGCCTAGGCCTAGGGCAAAGCTACACACGACAAAAAAAAAAATACAAAGAGAGTCGGGGAGACGAGGAAGGGAGGCTGGCTGCGATTTCACCTTTGACCCTCGCTATCCATTAATCCTGATGGTGTATCACGCGCGAGGTGGGATGAAGGCGGTGGTATGAGTGGCACAGCGGGCAGTGGTACGCACAGGCAGTGTGTTACAGTAGGCCTAGTGTGCTGTATCGTGACAGGCCGTCTAAATTAAGTTTTCATTTCCCATTCGACCACAAAACAAAAACAAACAAGCGAACAAAAACTACCATGGCGGGTGTCTAAATAACAGTGCACACTTTTGCGGGACCGCTATAGGCCTACTTACAAACAAAGGGAATAGCACGGGGAATTTTCTACATGAAAATCTCTGGATTATGTCTACTTCGCACTTAAGCACGCTTAAGCTTTCTCCCGATGACTGTGCTTAAAGCCGGCATGGACTGTATATCTAGATCTGCCTCCAAATCTACAAACTCGTAAAGTCTCTACATTAATCACAGTTACAAAGAAACACAAAAAAATTTTTGCCTGCCAGAAACGCTTGGTCAGAAACGGCCAGCCAGGGCGGAAAAATTTTAGTCAGAGTCAAAACTGCCGGGGAACACTTACAGGTCTGTTACTAAGGTAGCAAATGGAAATATTTTTCTGTGTACATCAAACAAGCGAAGGTCATTCATATCTTTGTGAGAATATAACTATAGATCCAAACTTTCTATTTTTCTATGGAGTATAATAACTGCTTTACAACTGACAAATTTCTTCTTCCTTCTTCCCAGTACAAATTGTGAGCACTCAGCTAAGATCAGACCACTGTCACTGTATAGATTCGCTGTTGCATTACAATCAAACGTACATTTATAGAAATAGCTAATCTACAAAAGTTCTTAGAAAAGTAAAGTGTCCCGGCACTGTGGAATCAATGGATTGTCAATTTTTGGGTATATGGTGATGGTATAAATCTTAACTCACTTGAGTCTAATCCCCTGTATTTACGGGACACCCCGCAGGCCTAATCCCGTGTACTTACAGGATGAGCTTTATCAATCGATAATTGAGTGCAAAAAAAAATTGCCTAACCCCCAAACATTGCCATTTCAAAATATTGATAAAATTAAAACCATTTGGATAAATTAGATGCACAGTTTTCTTTTTCAATGAGAGTATTTCTTTATTTCTCATTTCTGGTGTTGCATTAAAAAAATTATGATAGCTTTCACAGTCTTTTTGTGGTCAACGATTCAATATACCCCAAAACTGTCAGGCTGAAAAAGTTGTTGGGTGAAAATAGCTCAGGCTCAAGTGAATTATAGCTTGTTCATTTGTCTTGCTTTTGACGAAAAAAAATTCCCTTTCTCTAATTCACCTGTTGTTGTTATTGATCCAGATTTAATTCACCCAAATGGTACATGAAAATGGAATACTTTTGATTCTCTTATTTTTGACTACACAACACATACAGAGTAAACAGACAAAAAGAAAGGTAGAAAAAATAAACAAAATAGCAAATCTGTTTTCTGCACCACACCTATGATGTGAGAATTTATGTTAACCAAGCCTTCCTCATTTACTTACCTTCTTCAACCCATCATCTATAAAAGCATGCCTGAATATTAAGTCATGACAGGTTTTCTTCCTCAGAGTCAAAAGATTGCACATAGCCTACAGGAGCAACTGTGCAGGTGGCATCACTTGATGCTAAGCCACCAAGTTCATTGAATCAGATGAGATCAGTTTGCACTAAAAGGATGGTACATGCCAAAGCTTTCAACTTAAATACTGCAGTCAACTTCATTTTTCCCAACTTAAAACAGTCGTTAAAAATAGAGCAGCTGTATGAAAAACATTCTAACGAAATGAGGAATATTCTCAAAAGCAAGAAAAAGGCATTGTTAATTTACACTATACCACTTGACTTGCATGAGACAAGAGGTTTTTCCTCTTTTGTACTAATGCTGACAACAAAGAACCGCACTCAAAGTGTGAAAATAGATCTATAGCAGCAATTCTTCTCCTAATGGTCATTATTTTGATACTCTGTTGTTACAAGTCCCAGCCTGGGACAGTGATCATCCTCTTTAGGAATGAGGTCAAACAGACCTCGCCACGGTCTTCTCTTTTTCAGTTATAGTTGTAAGTGTTTTACACCCTTATCTCCACAATGTTGATGAATGGCTGGTTTGACTCTGCCTACAGTACAAGTATAAGGTCCAACCCAGGCTGAGGGGGATACAAGATCCCAGCAGACAGAAGTCATTTGTGGAAGTACATCTATTATAGATCCCTAGACTAGATCACAGATAAGGTAATTGTGCTCCTGGAAGAGCTGAGAATGTTTAGGACTGTTATAGGGTCTGTAATTATAGATTTAAAAGGAGAGAAAAAAAGCAGTCTACTTTGGAGCAGGTTTATATTATTTACAAATACAATGAATCATTACCACTCCTTTCGGGGGCGGGGGTGTGTTGTTTGTACTACAGTAAAAAAAAAAAAAAAAAAAGTACCAAATTAAGAAGAGGACAGAAAAAGCATTTCAATAATGTAATTATCAAATGTCACAAAGAAACCATGACAATACCTCAGGCGTCCACTTCTCCGGTATGTTCTCCAGACTGTCTGGACTGTCTATAGAGAAACACATGAGGATGACGTCTGTGTCAGGGTAAGACAGCGGCCTCAGTCTGTCATAGTCCTCTTGTCCCGCTGTGTCCCACAGAGCTAGCTCAACCTGGGGGACAAAGAAATAAACAATGACAATTTAATAACAAAAGTCTTCATAAAAGTCCTTTACTGTATTCAACACTGCACTATCCCCAATAAAATCAGTACAAAACAAGGAAAAGCCTCAATTCTTCAAAGATGGTGTATTGGAAAAGACTATACATGCAAAAAAACAACAAAAACCCCCCCTACTTCCTTAATCCCAAAGAATATTAGGCCTTTTTAAAGAGCAAACAGAGCGTTACAGGAAATTATAGTTTTACTTTTACTGACCCCTGATCAGCCTCCAGACATACCATCTATCTTTGTTCAAGCTTGGCGTAACGCTTCTCACAATTCCAAACAATACAGTTTAGCGTGCACATAATGAACAGATTTTCAGGCCCCTAATTTTTCCTTACATTTATTCTTTGTACTTGAAACATGTAATCAAAGCGAAATTTGTAAATGAAAAGATTTTAGTGTCCTGCTGATTTCATTATGTCTGTGCTAAGACTGTATTTACTTGCTTGAGACAGCTACAAATGATTACAAACAGAAGAAACAAGTTAATTGGGACCATGCGCTTGAACCCCCAATTTGCATTTCGAAGTGTAAAAATTTTTTTTGTAAAGCCTCAAATAAAATATTCATAAAACCCTTTATTACTTTGAAGACCTTAGCCAGAATTAAAGATAATTGGCTTGAGTACATTGAGTCAAACAAGAAGCCCTGATAAGCACTCTTCTCTGACAGTCAAGTTACACTGCCTTTAGTGCAGAGGCCAAGTAGAACTTAAGCTACTGCAACTTCTGCACGGTCTGAAAGGGTTAATTGATAGAGTAATTGTTAAATATTGTAGGAACGAAGTGAAACTCTTTTTACTCCCATGGCTGTCTCGAACAAAATAGAAAAATAAGTCGAGGAGCGTGCAGGCCACGTCGCCAGCATAGTCTCAATAATTTAGAAGAAACTACTTCTGGTATAATAACTGTGGTAAGCGTCAAATAAATATTACTTTATTTTCACCAATTCCCCCAAATCAATACATCAAACCGGTACCTTGAAAAGCACAAGAATAAAAAACAACCACTTTATTATTCTTTTAAAGGGGCACCAGTGCATAAAATTATCTGTAATTATCTCATGTCAGCAGTTCTAATGTCTAAGATTGCTAGCACAGACAAACACAAATGCAGCAAGCGTTGTTAGATAAAAAGTAAGTCAAATGGGCAAGCAAACATCTGCAAAAACATCCATTCATCTGTACAACAGGGCTTGTCCTTCAGAATATGAACTTTTTAAGACACAAATTAAAATCAAATACCTCTTGTCTGAAACACATTCCCTGAAATGATTGTAAGACCACCTCACTTTCATTATAAATCTTGATTACCCGACAGTTTGAAACAATTTTGCTGTACATAATAATAAACAGAGGTTGTACAGTGCATCTCCCAGCTTTATGTGCTTTACAATCAAAAGTGGAGCCGAAATCTAGTTTAGAAAGGCTGCTTAAGTAGAAGGAAAAAAATTCTGAATTATATTTTCTTATGGTGCTTTTCTTGGACAATAAATCATGATCCTTTTAGGTTGACTCCACTGCATATTATTTCCCTGGCACAGGGCTGCCCACCCAACAGCATATGTTTTTACTAATCAAATAGAAAACCAGTATTCTGGCTTCAATATTTGTAATATATCCACGGATAGGTCTTATTTCCTGGGGTGTCAAGGACAGGTTGTAGTCAAGTAAAGTAATCATGTAAACAAAGGTGTAACGAAAAAGAGGTCTGCCTAGGCTTTTTAAAAATGTTTGTGAGTGTGCGTGTTGTAGTTACTGTTTACTAAAACGAAAGAAATGTTGAAACTACAGAATACGTCACAGGCCTTTCTACTCACTGCATCAAATCACTATGCACCTTTCGTAGCTATTTGTTTTAAGTTTTTTTTAAACAATTGATACATTTTTTAACGTTATCTCATTAGCCTAGGCTGTAACCCACAACACAAAAAGGCAGGAATTTTATGACGCCTTGTCAACCCAATGTTTGCCTGATAAACTGATTTCTGGCTTCGGCACTTATGGAGCCTAATGTTTTTACAATTGTTTGTTTTTGTAAAGTGTTTTACGGCACTCTCAACTCACGGCGTACAGACAGCGCTCTTTTAGTTGGATCGGCGATGGAGTGACCGGGTCAC